GGGGGGGTTGGAAAAAAACTAAAGGAATTAAGTTTTTTATCCGACATCGATCTTTTGACGTCGTCCCTAATACCAGTACATCACTGTCTGGTGATATATAGGATGTATCATTTCAACTCCTTTACTGACTCTTGATTACATAAATGATAATGTTTTTCTCTGCAAATTCTCATTTTTACCTTGTCTGTATCATTGTATATTAAAAGCAAGTTATATAATGTCTGTTCTCATTGTTAGTCACTGTTCGAACGCAGTGCATCTGTGTGTTCGTGAGTGCGTCCGGACCTATATCTTAAACATGCCTGGACCAATTACATTCAAACTTCACACATACATCATATTATACATATGCACATCAATTTGTTTCACAATCTGATTCAAGATGGCTGAATGGCGGCCATTTTTGTGCTGAAAAATCATCAAAATCAAGGATCTATGGATGGATTTTGTTCAAACTTGGTACATACTTGGACAATGCCAACTAATGACCATTTTGTTTTAATGAATGCAGTTCTAGTGCCATAACTCTGCCATGCTTTTACTGATTATGATCAAATTTTATATGTTCATTATATATCATATCATAGATACACAAATGTATTCAAAATGGCTGAACAGTGGCCATTTTGTTTTAATTAATGCTGTTCCAGAGCAATATCTCTCAATATGGAGAAGTACAGATACAAGATGAATAAATAAATCATCATAATTAAGCATCTGGATTCATATCTTTGACATGTTTGAACTATATTACTATAAAACAAAACATAATCTTAAGTTTGATAACTAACTTATTTTTGTCAGTGTTGACTCCATTGTAAACTTTTTCTTGTGATATACAGTTACTCAAACAGTTTTTATCCAATTTATTCATCACTTGGATGTTATATTAACTGCTCTGGGATCTCATTCAAGTTAGATTATAGTAAAGGTATATTTTTCAAGATATTCATTAAATTTCACTTAAAATCGTCTTTTTCTTGTGGTTACAATAACTCAAACAATTTTATCTGATTATCTTCAAATTTAGAAGTCTTATCAATCACTAGGAAATGTCAACTAAGTTCAATTTTAGCAAGTGAATTTTTAAAGATATGGGGTTAAAATTGACTGACATAAAACATTTTTAGACTTAGACAGAATGAAGACATTTACACTTTACAATTATGCAAGTGTAATAAAGCGATATGTTTTGAGTATAAATCAAAAAATTGACAGTGCAGTGTTTCCCACTTTTTTCAAATCTGACTAGTAGTTTATATTACTGCACTATCATTTTCACCAGCCAAGGACCATTTATTCGGCCGTAGCCTCAACATTAACCCTTGGCAGATCGCACCATGATTTACTGTATGTCGCACACCATCAAACGATTATAAGATTCACTTCGGCTCATTTGCATCACCCAATCAGAACGCACGAAAGAAACTGCACATTACTTGGTAAAATTAAAATGGCGTAATCAAATAAACGTGTTGCTAGCTTTTTCTCTGAACAAGCTTACTGACCATCAAAAGAATCGCTTAGTGCTGTATCTGAGGGAAATGACTTGTTTGTTGCAAACACAGTTCCTCGACTGTGTTGCATCGAAGACCGAATCGGGCAAGTCGATATGTTATCACTTTCGACAGTTTTGTCAGTTTACTAAAACACAGTTTGCCCAAATATTTAGACATTCCATTGTCCTCATTCACTTGCCCACAAACAATTTTGAAATTTGGAACAAGAAATTTTGGAAACATGTCAACAAATATAGACCTTCTGTTCTTGACTCCAGGTGAATCAGCAAAGCCTACACGCCATCATTGTTTTAATCTGTCTTGAGCTCCCCGATCTTCACATTTATGATAGAGCAACTCTGATTGGTGGCGCCAGCTCCTTGGCGTGCCCAATCAAATGACCCAATTTAACTGCAGTGAAATACAGCTTTTCCTAACACGATCACGCACGGATTCGTGGGCCAGTTATGAATGACCGGCTTTAGCGTAAACTGTGCGATTCGGACAATGCTGCACTATTATCTGGGAACTTTTTTAACAATTCATGCCATATTGTTCTATAAGGGACATTGAGATTAACACAATTTATGAAGTATTATTTGAGGATCATAAATATTAATTAATTTATGTAGTTATGATGTTTTTTTTCAGCTAGTATTTTCTGCATAAAGTGCTTAGATAATATATTATTGCTTTGCAAAACATTCATTAGTTTGTTATACATCTATTGTTATCTAATCGTGACAGTCTTATGTAATTGACAAGGTTATAATAGATACGCTATATTATTTTTCTTCTTTGTAGACAAAGTAATAGTAAGTGGTAGTGCAGATGGAACTGTTAGAGTGTGGGATATATTTACCTATCAGTGTTTACATATATTTCAAGACCATACAGACTCTGTAACTTGTTTACAAATCAAGGTAAATGTTTACTCTCCTTTGTACAATATGAAGTGTGATACATCATCAGTATTTGTGGACATGTAATATACATCTAGGTACAGGAGACCTATAGTGTATAATGCAATACTGAATAAATAATTAAAATGTAGTCACATTTGTTTATCGGCAGGATTAGTGTTAAGTTTAATGCGGATCATTGTTTTCGCAGGACAACATAGTTGTCAGTGGATGTGCTGATAGTATACTACGTGTTTATGATGTGAAAACTGGAAGATTACTGGACACATTGATGGGACATAACAGAGGAGTAGACAGCGTTTGTTTTGATGGGAAAACAATTGTATCAGCTTCAAGTGACAAGTACGTATATGACTGGGTGACATAATAACCTTTCATGTGAATACTTTGTCTCCTCTATTCCAATGTGACAAGTACGTATATGACTGGGTGACATAATAACCTTTCATGTGAATACTTTGTCTCCTCTATTCCAATGTGACAAGTACGTATATGACTGGGTGACATAATAACCTTTCATGTGAATACTTTGTCTCCTCTATTTCCAATGTGATTTGTTCTACTGCTTTAGAAAATATATAAATACTGATATCTAAAAATAAATATGGAATTTCTTCCGATTTATAATTACACTATGATAACAAAAGCAGATGTTATTATTGTAATGTAATTTGATGAATAAGAAATTGAATTGAAGGTATAAATTTACTGACAAGTCTTGATTTATCTAGCCTATGGACAGAGAAAGGCTCAGATTAATGCCATTCTCACATTACTAAGTTTGTTCTAATAAAAAGATTAAGTTATCAAATTTCAATCCAAATATACAAAGATTAACAATTTTGCAATTTGTTTTGGGAGTACATTTACAAATCTTATGTGCCTAATATTTCTCTATTAGAAATAAATAAATAAATATAATAATTTTCTGATAAGTTAAGTGTTATTTATTTGTTTATTATAGAACTATTAGAGTGTGGTTGTATCACAGCGGTAAATGTGTACATATATTGCGTGGACATCAGGATGATATTGAGGTATGCAAAGTATTAATACCGGTAGTTAATTTCACAGTACCATATATCGTTTAATTTTCTCTGCTAGAAATGTTCTCGAATTCATGATCTTATAGCAAAAATTTGCTGAAGTAACTGAAATTCCTTGTCATTAAGACCCCAGAGAAATGTTCGCTGTCACCAAATGTTGCAATTCTTCACTGATGCACACAAATGTGTATTTTACAGTATATGGTATATGAGGGGTTCCAAATTAACAGTAACCAATTCATGTGCCAGGGCCACCATTTTCCAAAATTAGTATCCCAGTTGGACTATTAGAATTTTATAAGTAATTAAAAATGTTTCTGCATTGATATCCCAAAATAGCAAAGTAAAGTGAGTTGGTTTTTTTAATTTAGTCAAAATTCTGTGCATGGTTACAAGTAGAGAACTACTGATGAACTATCCAACATTATCATGAGGCTAACTTTTGGAAATAGTTGGCTCCTAAGAACAAATTATTATTTACAAGACGTGTATGTGCAAATGCTGTGTTACTGTCATTGCAATGATGGAAGTCACACCAAATCAGGATTATTACCAGCATATTAGCTAACGTTACATGATCACTTGATTTAGATTGTGTGAAAATGTTCTCAAAAGGAGACATTAAAATTTACTGTGAGGTTTGATATTATTTTGTGTAATAATTTGCATGGTATAAAGTCAATGACAATTGACTTCGTTAGTTTACACCATTCTTCGACTAATATTTTGCAAGTGAATGTGAAAAGTAGGCACATGCTGAACCAGTTTTTATCCTATTTTGTGCCTGTGAGAGCTGCTTCAACCTAAATAATGTACCAGTTTCAGATAAAATATTAAGGAAAGATTCAAAAGTGTTACTCTGCAAAAATTAACTCATATGGTTTTCAGATCGATGACTAAATTTTTGTATTGGGCATCATCTCTGACATGCAGTATTTGAATCAGTGTTCACAAACTGTTCCTGACAATGATTACTGTAAAATGGTAGAAAAGTAACAGAAGGCACATGTCTATTCCTTCAACAAAGACCTACTAAAGAGGAAAATTGTATGACACTCAGACAATTTTTAAATCAATTGCATCTCTCTCACATTGTAGCTCCTCTTAAGAATGATAATCAAATCCAATTAAAAAATGCATTAAAATGCATAGTCATATCATCAGTCAATTAGCTGGCAATATTGTGGATTTGATGTTCTATCCATTATTGGAATGAGAGTAATCTGTATCATGTAGAAATTGAAATATTTCATGTTTATTTATGCTTTACATTGCATTTAGTTTTTAACAATGTACAAAAACATGGCAGTTTCCACCAGTTGGGATTCAACCCTTAAACTGTGGCATCTACGGAGAGGTATCTGTGTACATACATTACAGGGACACAGTGAAGGTAAACACAATAATAATAGTATAGGTGTTATTATTATTATTATGCAAATAGAAATGAATGAAATTCATCACATCTGTTTAAAAAATTACATAATTAGGTTTATGTACAATAATGAAAAACAAATAATTTTTATAGTATAAAAATAAAATAATAATACAAAATTTAGCCAAAATAAAATGCTATAAACTCAGTGTACATGACAAGAATGATTGTTAGTTGATTGTATTGTAGTCATTATGTAGTCATTGATAAAATTATGTTTTATGATGTGATACATTTTCATTAAGAATAAATACCGGGTACATGTAGAACTTTTTACTATACACTGAATTCTGTTGTAAAATTTCATGTATTGTTGTTTTTATTGTATCTATACTAGTTGTATATTGTTGCCAGTTTGATGATAACATTATTGTCAGTGGAGGTGGTGATGGATTGATCAAAATATGGGATACAGAAAGTGGTTATTGTAGACAGACTCTGGCAGGACATACAGGTGAAGTGGTGAGTAGTAGATTGTACATTGAAAGTGATAAAATATGCATTTGATATAATAAGTGATATGTTATGAAGATTCTTTGAAGCCATGTGTGAATTGCATACCTTAAATGCAATATGGACAGGGACATGCAAGTTTTGATATTTTTGTTTTATGCTGTACTGTGTTGGACTGCGAGTTATCATGATCTGAACAAACTGTTCCTGTGGCACACATCGGAATGTATTCAAAGCAAAATATTGGACAAATTATTGGATAATTTACAATGGAGAAAACTATCAGATTTTTTATGGTTTTACTAGTAAACATGACCTCTTAATACAGAACAGTGCAGTATATCAAACCCTTATAACCATCAATACACATGATATAAAGAGTTGATAAATATTTCCATTTATTCCACAGTATTGTTTACAGTATAATAGTGAAGTGATAGCATCTGGTTCATCTGATAGTACAGTTAGATTGTGGAACCTTCAAGGTATTTAAAGCTATAATAACTCTGAATCTCATGAGATAAATTATGGGAATGTATGTTCTGTGATAAAGAAATACAATTACTGGTACATCTAATGTGGTTTATTTTATTCAGAAATAATCATATTGTAAATTTCCATCATCATGTGACATGTAATAAAAATAAGATATTACAAGAGTGTCTCTTCTCTCACTAATGTGATATATATTTGTCTTTGAGGCGTCTATTGCTGTGATTCATTCATTCGTATGTTTGTTCATTCATCGTTTGTTTGTCATTTACTTGGCAGGTATTTGTTTGAATGTAATGAGAGAACACATTGGTGTTGTACGTTGTCTCTGTATATGGGGACCAAGAATAATAACTGGTGGCGACAGAAAAAAAATTGTTGTTTGGGATGCCAAGGTAACATGGACTATTATAAATCTGACACAGAATTAACAATTAATAAAATTTCTTCATCCATCATATACTGTATGAACATGTTTGAAACGTGTTACTAGTTCTTTTTGAATGCCTACATATTTGGAATATGTGCATCATCTTTACTTTTGATTACATCAGATACATTGTAGAGACTGAAATAGAATCACGTCACTGAACACACTGAACAAATAATTTTTAGCAGCACTTCAGGCTTTTTTATCTCACTAAAATATGTAATAATAGGGTTATCATTAGAATACTGCAAAACATGGGAACATTTGCCCTCTATGTGATGCTCGCTACAAACACTGTACTGCCTTTGTACATACTTTGCTGTGTTCTTGTAATAATTATTATTGATTTCTTAGTCAATATGTGAGTGTTGATGATTTATATGCATTGAGCGTCCATGACATTGCTGTTTTTGTAATTTCCTTATTTGTCATGCACCATGAATCAGTCCATAGCGGTATTGGATATTGGTTTTTAATGGTGGAAATGATTAATTTTTACTTTAAGATAAATGTGTAAAAAATGAAATAATATGACTAAAATATATGGATCTTCTTGTTTTTTAGACTGGAAGAAAATTGAATGTTGCACATCGTAATCCAAGTTTACTTCATAAACTGTGGGTGAATGATACCAGATTAATCACAGCTTCACCAGAATCACCAGGCAGTATTACAGTTCTCAGTTACTGGTAGTATTGGTACAATCATGAGTTTCTACATTTGAGGTGTGCAGGCTGGGCTGTATTTTTTACCATTCACTGATTATAACCTAATAAGTATGTAAATACTGTACCTCTGACCATATAACAGACTTGATCTCAAATTGTCTATTAAATCGTTTCATATTGTGATTAACTTTTCATGAACTTATTTGATTTAGGCAAGTAATCACAAATAGGAATAATGACAGACATAACTATAACTGCCATGGTTTTGAAATAAGCAGGAATAAGAAATAAGCAACATTTTTTGGGATTCACAGAAAATTACTGAAATGTAACACATGATTGATGCACGTTAGTTTCATGCACTACCAAACATTGTCTGGTTTCTTGAGGTATTATATCTAGAAAAAACAACCCATGTGTTAATAATCCTGCTAAAACCATTACTAATAGATCAGTTCTTATTGTTTTGTCCTGCCAATACTTGGTGCACTACAATATTACACAAATAAGTTTTTACTGTGATTTTAGTTGCGTGTGTCTTGTTTAATCGCTTTATATTTTATATGATTTTTTTTAAATGTATTTGTATTTGGTGTGGATATGTTTGTGTGAAATGATCTGGCAGTACTAACTCTTTACATTCCATTCATCATAAAAGGCCACACAAATTTGACTTCATATATTATGGGCTAAATGACACAAAATCCATGACACAGAATATGTTAGACAGAATTTTTGTTATTTTATTTACTGTTATACAATCATGATCTTCTGTATCAAATCGGTCTTTTTATATGCACAGTAATTATTTTACACTTACTGTGTGTTTTTTTATAATAAAATAATCTTTTTGTCAGTTTTATGATAATGTCTATGCCTTGGTATATTTATTGAAAATGGTGGTGTGAAAACATTTAATCTATTGCCTTTTTTAATGTCATATTTAATAACACTTGAAATCCCTGATTCCAATGTCAGTGACAGTTATAACTATAAAATATATTGACATGTTTAAGTTAGTACAGCTTATGTGTTACTACTTTTATGTGAAAAAGCAATATATTCTACACATGTTATGTATGTTGCTACAAATCAATATCAAATAGGAAACGCTGGGACGACCACTGCTGTTTAATCAGATATAAAATATGTCTTTATAGGATGTTGGGCTGTACAAGGCAATGTGCATGTTGATTAAAATGGCAAAAAAAGTGTAAGCTGCAAGTTATGAGGAAAGTGAGAAAAATTGCCTCGAACCCAGAAGAGTTTAGTCTTATGTTACACACAGGAATTACTTAAGGCATGCCATGACAATCATGGTCACTATTTACTATAATATAATTATGATTTTTTTTGTCAACATGAAAATTAACAAAAGTCAAACAATCCTTGGATATATGTATACTAGAGATATAGAGATTCCTGAGCAGTAATAATAGTTAGGAATATCCCGCAGTAAGGTAGTTAGGAATATCCCGCAGTAAGGTAGTTAGGAAAATCCCGCAGTAAGGTAGTTAGGAATATCCCACAGTAAGGTAGTTAGTAATATCCCATAGTAAGGTAGTTAGGAAAATCCTGTAGTAAAGTAGTTAGTAATATCCTGTAGTAAGGTAGTTAGGAATATCCCGTAGTAAGGTAGTTAGGAATATCCCGCAGTAAGGTAGTTAGGAATATCCCGCAGTAAGGTAGTTAGGAATATCCCGTAGTAAGGTAGTGAGGAAAATCCCGCAGTAAGGTAGTTAGGAATATCCCGTAGTAAGGTAGTTAGGAAAATCCCGCAGTAAGGTAGTTAGGAATATCCCACAGTAAGGTAGTTAGGAATATCCCGTAGTAAGGTAGTTAGGAATATCCCGCAGTAAGGTAGTTAGGAAAATGCCGCAGTAAGGTAGTTAGGAATATCCTGCAGTAAGGTAGTTAGGAAAATCCTGCAGTAAAGTAGTTAGGAAAATCCCGCAGTAAGGGAGTTAGGAATATCCCGCAGTGAGGTAGTTAGGAATATCCCACAGAAAGGTAGTTAGGAAAATCCTGCAGTAAAGTAGTTAGGAATATCCCGCAGTATGGTAGTTAGGAACATCCTGCAGTAAGGTAGTTAGGAATATCCTGCAGTAAGGTAGTTAGGAATATTCCACAGTAAGGAAGTTAGGAATATCCCGCAGTAATGGAGTTAGGACTATCCCGCAGTATGATAGTTAGGAATATCCCGCAGTATGGTAGTTAGGAATATCCCACAGTAAGGTAGTTAGGAATATCCCGCAGTAAGGTAGTTAGGAAAATGCCGCAGTAAGGTAGTTAGGAAAATGCCGCAGTAAGGTAGTTAGGAATATCCCGCAGTAAGGTAGTTAGGAAAATGCTGCAGTAAGGTAGTTAGGAATATCCCGCAGTAAGGTCGTTAGGAATATCCCGCAGTAAGGTAGTTAGGAAAATGCCGCAGTAAGGTAGTTAGGAAAATCCCGCAGTAAGGTAGTTAAGGATATCCTGCAGTAAGGTAGTTAGGAATATCCGCAGTAAGGTAGTTAGGAATATCCGCAGTAAGGTAGTTAGGAAAATGCCGCAGTAAGGAGTTAGGAAAATCCCGCAGTAAGTAGTT